ACAACTCCAAAGGAACAACATGACCGAAGCAGATATCACAATCAGCTTTAGCTCTGATTATTGCCAAACTCAACCTACACCGCTCCTAACATTTCGGCAGAACTAAGTCTTCTGATGCGCAGAAAAAAATACATGCATACTGCATACCACCAGTGGTTGCTAGGGAGCTGCTAGGTGGCATTACAACACGACCGCAGAAGTTCGACTTCGGGTCCCAGTGCTGTATGAAGCTGGGTCCTTCCGATGCTATCGCACACGTACGTGTCCTGCAGGTAACCCAATTTCAAATGAACGTGCAGGTTCTGGGCCTGGGTCCGTTTTTCAGATAAGTAATTCTCTTCAGGGTTTAGGGTTTAAGGTTATTAGTTGGTTGCAAAACACTTGCCCCATAAGCTTGGAGACGAATGCGGTCATCCTGTTCTCCCTGCTTTTTCTAGTCGCAGGGCAACGGATCCTTGTGCGATTCAAGTCCAGCCGACGCGAGGCAGGCTCTCACAGGAAAAAGAACACGAGGACAAGTTCAGACGGGATGTGCTCATGTATCGGCTATGGTGGCAAGTGCCTATGTTACTCTTCTGATCACTACCATTCTCTTGGGGTTTGGGGTCTAAGCAAAATGCAGTTGCAGGGCTCGGGGTCTGCCGCGCTCGGTGAAGGTATCAATCCGCTGCACCAAAACATGCAAAATGGTCGCTTGCCCCCAACGCACAGAGCATCACATGCCATGTTAACCTGTACTGAGACTGATTCTGACTCAAGCAAGCAAATGCCTGCCAATACCGAGCCACGATTCCAAGTGCACCACGTCAGACAGAACATTTTGCTGCGAAAGTATGCAGTCCGTGACGACAGGCTACGACAGTGACTGTGATGAATGCACAGGCACATGAACATGTATATGCGCGTATGCCTGTCGATCACATTAGCCGCCAACCGATATCCTTTATATATGTATCTACCTGCTTCTTTCTCCCGCTCTCTTCAGCGATCTAGACGTAGATAGGTAAGTAGATAGATGGATAGATTGATTGATAGATTGATTGATTGATAGATATAGATAGAGAGATAGATAGACAGACAGACAGATAGATAGGTTAACAGATCTATAACGATAGGTCGGTACATCGATAGGTCGAAAAGTAAGATAGATGGGTGGACGGATTGATAGACAGAAAGACGATAGACAGAGAGATAGATAGACATATAGGTAGATAGATAGATAGACAGATAGATAGACAGATAGATAGACAGAGGGACAGACACTGAGACCGACAGACAGGCAGCAAGGCAGAATGGTAGATAGGTAGATAGATAAACACACGAAATGAATACACTGGGATACATTTCGGTATATTCTGTGTCTTCTTGCTGGATTTCGGCGAGCTTTTTCGGTGGTGCATGTTGTGCTGTGCCTTATTGATTGTGTATATGTATAGCAATTAGCCCTTCCTATTGGGCCAGGGCAGCTATGCCCTCATAACAAGTACCTGCCAAGTAGCTGAGTGAAATACGAACCATTCCTGGAGGAACAACAGGTAGAGGATATGGATATGCATTATGGCAAAAAAGTCTCGCCTTTTCTTTAGTAACCAAGGATTCTGCAAATTCCTCAAGCCAGTCCGTGCAGCGTGAGTACTGCTGTGACTTTCCTTTCTCATACTGCTGCTATCGAGACTCTTCTGGGATATTGCCATTACCATATCCGTATTGTGTCCAGCAGCTCCACGACGACACGCATGTGTTGAATACTGAATGCGAGCCCATACTCTCGGCTAGACGTGTGCGACTGGGGGAAAGCACGAAAACGCATCATGTTGAGTCGGGTGAACCGTAGCTAAGGAGCATGTGCAGCGACAGAAGCCCCTTCATGAAGCACAAAAGAGAAATATCAACAGGAAGCTCTTCAAGTGACATCGGCTCACATCCACGGTTACATCTCTAAACCCTCAAGCCTGTATACTTATCACCAAACCCATCATCGCGGCTTACGAGCCGCACAGAGTTGCTGTCCGCTGCACTGCGAACTCCGCGGATATCACGAGGGCGGACGATGCTAGGCATCTCCATCCACGGATTGAAAGCAGTGAAACCTGGCAAAAGGGTAAGGGAACCCTGTTTCTTACCGCTCAGAACATGAGCCTGTGGGCTGTGGGCGTTGTGAAGTAGCACAGCCGTTTCAGCATTTACGGCTAATGTAGCAACCTGGTTCAGAAACATCTGGTTCTTGTGATTCTTCCTGCTTCGTAATCTTAGCTCCGATGAGTACTTGAAGTTATAGAATCAGAACCATGGGTTTCTGCGTGTCTATGAACCCTTCGAAATCCCAAAACCTATGCCCGCGCTAAGCCCCCAAAACCAGAACTATGCAAAGATGCTGTCTTGGGAAAAACCACGTTAAGGCCTTAAGGACAAATTCATAACTCTCTCTCACAAGCTTGGGCACTTCTCTCCTATACGAACAGTACCTATACGCGAAACCCTCAACTTTTTATGATTCAGGGTCGGGGAGGGGCGGTTAGGGATCAGGGCTTACAGTAGGGCTCAGAGAAACTTCTAGACATACAGATATATATATATATATACATGCGTTATAAATGTAAACTATAGTATAGTATTCCAATTATAGTTCTTGTTGAGTGTATCGACCTGACGATACAAGTTGCGGTGTCCGGCACCCGGTCAGTCGTCCAAGGTTGTCCCTACCGGCACTGCACCAAAACATCTGGCGATTCTGGGCCCTGGGCTGAGTCTATGGATTGCATCTCTGCTGTGAGGAATAGCGCCCAGTTCCAGCCACAAGAGAGTCAACTGCAATAGCTTGGATGCTGCTGCCGACAATGATGGTGATGATGGCATATAATTCTGATCAATACAGATGAAGATCGATATTGATATGGGCTGCTTGTGCTGCTGCTGCTGCTGCTGCTGAGACTAGATGCCGCCTACGAAGACTACCACCGCATGAACACAAAACTAATCCTCGCAGCGACACATCACGCACAAAGCAGCAGCTAACTAAAGATGAACCTACGAGCTAAACTCATTCAAGTCCAAGAGCCCCCGCCGAAAGATCAATGGTTTCATAAAACCGCTCGTGAGACAGGCAAGACCCTACACTGTAACCCTGAGCCTCTAAACCCTAACCACCGACATCCTACGTAAATCTTTGAATTATGGAAATCACCCTCAAGCAGCCCGTCAATTGGGCCCAGCTCGCAACACGAGGGTGCAGCTATGCAAGTGCTGGCACAGATTGGCGATGAGCTTTCAGGGCTTAGGGCCGTGGGGTTCAGCTTCGGGTTTAGGGTTGAGCTTGGAGGGCTGACGGTTTCGGCTAGAAGAAGTAGTAAAATATGTCTGCTGACTACCACCATGAAAACATAGATGCCAAAGATATGCCAAGTATCTTCGAGGAATCGAAAGCTTCGTGGGAAATTGGATTCACGGGCGCTACGTCAGAGATAGGAAGGGCAGGGAAGCTTGTGCCAACACCCTGCGAATCTTGCAGTACAGCTGCACAATCACAATACCAATCCTAGCCTGCGAGGCACGATGTCGGCTTCCTTTGAGCCTGAAGTCCAAACACGCGGGTTTACGAGAATAGGCTTGGGCCCCGACTTAAGTGGTGGGCGCGAGTCAGTCTTACAAGTTCCCATGATACCAAGTATGGACTTTGTCCAATTTGCCTCGGAAGATAGCATGCGAAGCTTGATTGCGCATGCATGCTACACCTGCGGTTCCTTGTGCACTGCTGTCGATGGCAACACCTTTCGCCAAACTGAACATTTCCAAAAAACATATCTTTCCTGATCATGACCTTGGAGCATCAACGACATGGAGCACGTCAGCACTCCCAAGGTACTCTAAGCTGCCATGCGGGACAGCAGCGACATACGATGTGCAACAGATCTGACAATCTCAATTAAAAGGGAAGCTTGGAAACGGGCGTCTTTGACGCCAGCCTCGTCGTTTTCACTCCGCAATGCGGTGCTTGTCGCAGGGGCGCGGTGGTGGTCGGTGGGCAACCGCGGCTGTACCAGGCCACGCATGCCTGCATATGGTTTATCGGGGTTTACATGGGGCTAAGGGTTCAAGGTTTCACCGACAAACCACGTACACAAGCTTGGTATGGACTCTTCCCTGTGCATGCAGCTTCCAAAGCAATACTGCCGGATCGTCATGTCCTTGCTCAGTAGTCCGGTCGTCGCCCAAGTGCGTTAGTTCAGTTCGGCAGAGGGGAAAGAAAAATGCAGCCACTTGGCCACTAAGACTTGGAACTGCAACCGTTTAATGGTCACTGAATGACAAGACTGCCCAGAGTGGTCCCCAAGCACAGATGCCTTCCTCCTAGGAAGAGACCACAGCAGCTGCTGCGGCCGCAGCGCCGCTCCTTGACTGTGAATCATCGGATTGCCGATTGAGCTCCTGAGCGTCGCGGAGGGAATGAAGACTTTCGATGGTAAGGAGAACTTCTAGTAGAAACATTGATTTGGAAGGAAGATGCGGACTGAAGACTTGTAAGGACTTCAAGCCTCTGCTAGAGCATCTTCACATCCATAACTCCACAATATTCCACGACGCTGATGTAGGTCAAGGGGTATGCTGTCTTCAAGACGCGACCCCACCTGAAGTGCATTCCGAGCCTCTAGGCAGTGTGCGGGCACACTGAGAGTTTGGGGGGTTCTCTGACTTTAGGGAACCGATGGATAGATCAGCACGAACCCAAAGGACCCCAAGTAGCTATATGGGGGATACTTACCCAACGATCCTTTGGGTAAGATGTCTCAGTTTGCGGCTTTTGGGGTCTATATTGCCTTGCATGCAGGCATGTGAAGCTTGACTTGAAGGAGCTTGACGTCTATCAGTCTGCTACGACCAAAGTCTCGACATGACCATCCCGAAATCCGCAGCCTACGCTATACTGCTTATAATTGTTTGTATTAACTATTATAATTCTTAAAGAGTATGTTCAAATAACATCCGAAGATACATGTAATCGACTAGATCGGCCCAGGGGGGTCACTTGCAGCTCGAGGCACCACTTGATCTGGTCCTTGTTTCGAGTTCATGGCCTTCAACTTCCTGTCAGGGCGGCACAGGGCGTGGCAGGCCAATGCGACGAGTGGATGACTGAGCAAAACATCGAAGACAGGTAGAAGTTTAGGGACTGCCCCTGAATCGCCAGCCTCCGTCGGCCGTCGGAGAGGTGCATGCCGGTAATGCGTGCGAAAGCCAGCTTGTCAATCGTGAGGATTTCGCAAGTGCTAACCTGAAGGAGAAGAGGCTTCAATGGACCAACAAACCTTACCACATTCGGCATCGGCATTGACGTGCCCGAGCACCACAACCACCAACAACGGCAGCAACTGCTCCAAAGCCATATCCAAAAGCACCTGCACCACCACAACCATCACCATCACAAGCACCAATGGCAAGGCAATCATTAACAATATCCCTGTCACCGTCATCATAACACCATCCTGAACCTTGGTTACATGGCGTTACAATGAACAGACGCACATGATAATGCTGACATATGCTGGCGCTTCTTCTTTTATTCTGCTGATGGTGATGGTGCATTCTCGGCGTGGGGCCGATCTTTGTGCCATCATGAAGTTCTTGGCGAACGGACCCCGGCTGCTACTGCCACGACTGCTACTGACTACCACTGCCACCAAAACCCGGACGACGACCACTACTACTACTCCTCCTGCTCCTGTCCCTGCTCCTGCCCCTCCTCCTGCTGCTGCTGTTGCTGGTTATCAGCACTACTTCCGGTACTGTCAGCTGCCACGATGGCCAGGAAGTCGACTCCAGGGTGGAGCAGGTGTCTAGGAAGTCTAGGCAGGCAGCCCAAGCCCCACGCCAAGACATCACGCGCAAGGCGTTTCGGCATGATGTGGTCGTAGGGAATCTCTCAATTACATAAATCTTGTGAAATCACAACCGCACCTCTGAAAGCACTAGCCGGACCTTGGCCACTGCCTGGTGTCATTTCGTCATGCCAAGTGGCGGTCGTGACTGTCAAAGTTGAGATCACAGGCTCCTTGCTACACTTGCTGGGGAGTGGTACTTGCTCGGGTGTCTGGGCTTGCCTGACTCCCTGACGCATCTGGGCGACATGCCAATGCTTGCGCCAGCAGCATGCTACATCACGCACGAACAGCGAGCACAGGCAGTGCAACACAGACTATGCTCGTAGAGTGGCAGGATCGATCATTTGTGACACGGCATACTAGGATGTTTCACGCTACTGTTGACTGATACATGGCGATGACCAATACACTGCAATCTGCTACTACCGTGTGCTCTCCACTACACAGCATTAGCAATGCAGTTTGTTTAGCATGGTATCTTGCTCGACGAATGCTGAACATGAGACCTGCCACGGACTGGGAACTCAAGTCTGTCAGCATGTTGCTCAATCTGACGACAGACGAAACAGGGTTTGGGCATAAGAGTGGTTAAGAGGACATCGGACAAAAGTCCCTGGAGCACAACGACGACTCAGGATGCTGTTGGCAAGGGTTTCACAGGTATGTAGGACGCAAGCTGTCGGCTTTAGATGGAGAACACCAAGTCTGAAAGCTCCTCCGTCTCCAGGCACGCCTGCAAAGTGGCGTTGACTGTCGGGCTGCAGAGCTTCCGGGCGTGCTTGAACACCCTAACCTAAGCCGATATGGGCCTCCAAGCCACTCCTACGGTGCCATGCAAAAAACAATCAAGAGAAGAGATGGAAAAGAACTGGGAAGTCTTTGGTGGGAAGCTTTTCAGGCTTGATTACAGCTTTTGTTTATTGCAAAGGCTCACACTGTGGGAGTCATTAGTGGAACACATCGGCAGCGAAATCAAGATGTACACCCCGATACCGTTGCAGAACTTGAGCCACATCAAGGAAAGGTTGCAGGCACAGCTCTAGGGGAGTTGGATGATGCGCATCCACACACACACACAGCAAGGGCTTCTCTCCTGCTTTTTGGATGTCCTGCTACATCATATAAGGATTCGCTGCGGGACCCATGAATACATGAGGTCTCATCCGGGAGGGATGTGCTTCTTACCAGTACTTGTACATGACAAGCTCGGCCAGCTTCTGGCGGCGCGCATAAGCACTTCTTTGTAGGCTTCGTCTACTGAAGCTGAAGTCCGGTGTCCGCGTGCTTGTTGTGAGCTTCCGGCCTCATCAATGATGGCATCATGCGGCACCTCGACAGCGATCTGGTTGATGTCTTTGGCCTGAGCAGGGAGACAAGCCTAAGCAAGTCCTATTCTCGTCTTGAAAAGGTTCGTGTACTGATTGGCCCGTGTCTAGAACGAACCTACCTTCCGGCCGACGTTATGATCAGAATAAGGTTTTGGGGTACTCTCTCTCGCTCTCTCTCTCCATATACATATACATATACATATACATATACATATACCTATACCTATACCT